GTGGAGGAAGCTGTGTGTGTTGCGTCAGAGGCTCCTGCCCTGTGCTGCACCCAGGCTCTGATAACCCTCCTCTTCTAATCTAATGTAGAGGAGCAGTAACTAAGTGGATTTTCACAAATTCTTTGCTGAGAAAAGCTTTCGAGTAGTTTGTGGCTTAGGCTTTGTTATTGGTAGGGTATAGCTGATTATCTAAACAGTTAGTGGAAGCAATTTCATATCCAGACAAATAGCAGCAAAATTTCTCATGCCTTTCCTGTGACTTATAAGCCTCTGCAATTATCTGCATGACCTTCGTACTTGTAGGTACAGCTAAGAATGTAATCTGTACCATAATTGTAGCCTTTCCCTTCTCCAAGGCATAAAAAAGCACGGTGTAGCCAGGAAATAAGAAATAGGCAAACGTATGGAAAATTTAAGCTGAAAATCTGTCACTTATTGGAAATTGCTTGTTTTCTTCTAAACTTAGATTGTATATTTTTACTTTAGATACTATTAAATATAGATATGAAATGTGTAGGAATGGTAGCAAAGTCAGATACTGAGTTTCTGTTCAGCAATTCTAATTTAGCATGTTGTAAACTGGGATCTTACCAGAACTTGCTTGTGGTTATGTTCAATAGGCTTATTAAAAAAAAAACCAAACCAAACCAAAACCCTCTAAAAATCCCCAAAACCCTAATCTGTGCGAAGAAACCTCCCCAAAATCCACCAAAACTGAAACCAAGAAAACAGCAGAAGTTCTAGGCATTTGCACATCAAAGGTCCTTGCACACTGTCCTGTTTTGAAGAGCCAGTGTGAATGCTCATGCTTACTTCCTATATTATTATTTCCTTAGCACTTTTTCCCTCAGACATGTCTGACTGAATGTGTGGGCTAAGCATCTCATAGACAACAGTGCTACAGCTCAAGACTTCCTTAATCAGTATCTGCTCTGTGTGAAGCTTTACAACAGTGTAGTTTTTGGTACATAATGCAATTTCCAAACTCCACTTATAATAAACTTACTTTACTGCAATTGTATGGTCTGATTGCAGATTTATCTTTTCAAATCCTGTATCATCTGTAATTCCCTTACTGCCCTTCATTGTCCTTTTCATACATTTTTATATGACCATTTAAACTTTTCTCATGATTCATCTGTGGCTATGGCATCCCTCCATAAAGACACCCACATTTCTCAATTTACTTCTTTGTGGAGTGTGTTAGATTGAAACCATACTACACAGTTGTTTCTCCCAATCCTTATAAAATCTGTACTTCATGAGTGCAATTACTTTTAGGAACATTCTCAGATTTAGGGTGAATATTTAAAATAAGGTAGTCAGACAGTTGATCCTAGAATTATAACAAAGAGTATTATCCTAGAAAGGAGCACAGGAAGTCAAAGGCAGGTATAGCTCCACTCCTGAAAATGGGAAAGCTAGTTAAGAGAGCAGCTGAAGGGAATTATTTTAAATGTAGAGTACTGATGGGTTTTTTGTGGATCCTACAAAAGCCAGATTCTAAGTTACATATTCTAGTCACCATCTATAGATGCACTATATACTGACACTTCCCTTTTTTTTTCAAATACAGAGATCAGAACTGAGGAACAGGAATTGACATTGAAGACTAAAAACTGTATTTGGGCCAAGTGGACTACATACACTAGTTCAGATTAGTGTTTCCTTAATTTCTCACTCTGTGTTCACTCTCAAAATTAAAACTTCTTTATTTTAATGACAAACTCAAAGAAACCTATGTCTGACCCTTATTCCTACAAGCACTGCTGTATGGGGCTTCTTCGGAAAACAGGCTGATAGAAAAAAACAGCAAAAATATATCTATTTTTGCCTCAGGATTCCTAGTTAGAGGGACACAGAAGAAAACAAACAAGACAAAGCCCAAACCAAATGAAATAGGCTTATTGCCTTGCTTTCTGGAATGAGTCTAGCTCCTATTGCTGAGAGGTATCCTGCACCTAGTGCCAGAACTAGGGTTGCTGTGCTGGGGTATAAACTGCTTCTGGAAACCTGCACAGTAGGACTTTTGTGCAGCACAATGCTCAAGTTTCTGAGGTCCTGACTTGCTTAGGAAGAGGAAAAGGATCTGAAGCAGACACTCGGAGGGAGAAAACGTCAGCAGATTCCTTACCCCTCCTCTCCTGGGATAAGGCAGACTCATCCCTTCATGCTGGTTCAACTTCTGAAGTGGAAGTGTGAACAAAACTGAATGAATGCTGGCAGTAAACTCTAGGCAGTGAAAGAGTAAACCCTGCAACGTAAAGCATTAAGAAATGCAATAATTTCAACTTCCTCTTAAAAGCAGGTCTGTAAAATATTTTTATGCTCACCTCTCAAAACTAACTTCTACTTCCTTATTTACTTTTGAGGCGTAGGAGAAGTCATAGAATTATTAAAGAGACGTACAAATCACAAGACACAGTAAGAACCTGGAGACTTGGTGATAACTACTGGTAGTGCTTCCCTAATGCTTGGTTAATATTTACCTGTGATAAAGAAACTATTTAAGCAACTGCGGATGACTTGGTTGTAACATTTGCTCTCAGGAGCAGAGCACGGTGTATTTGATGCGCTTTGAGAGGTTTTCTGAAGACACAAGAACAACTTTTATATCGAGGTCAAACTCTTAGGAAAGCTTCTTTTGCAGCACTCGTTTTTGTCTCAGCTTGTTGAAAATGGCGGGTGTAAGCAGATGCATGAAGTACTCCATGTTCATCTTCAACTTTTTATTTTGGGTAAGTTAGTGTTTAAACTGTTATTAATGATGTAGGAAATGTGTTCTCCATTATCTGAAAGCTGCAGTTAGAGGAATTGTAAAGAAAATGGAGCATAAGTGGAACCAGAGGATGATTCTAAATCAGGGAGGGGAGAATATATTTAACTTTTGCCCTTCCCTTTGTCTTTTTCCCATCTAAACACCTTTCCCTCTGCATTTAAAAGTAGACAAGCTACAAATCTGTCTCCCTGTTCTTGTGCCCCTCATGTCAGGGGGCATCACTCATCTCAGTCAGAAGATAACAGACTCTCCAATAATAGTGCACAATTATCTTCTTTTATTGCTTCTATTTGCATGCAAGATCCTGAAAATGGAGTTGCAACAGAAAATATGGAAAATTTACTTGAAGTTTTAGCCTCCTAATTGATAAATGGTTTTCATATCCTTCATTGTTGTTCTTTGCTTTACATTTAGTGCATAATTAGTTTCTGATGGTGGGCAGTAAATGTTTCTAAGAATGTATGTGCTGGCAGTACTACCAAGGCCAATACAGCACAGATCAGCAGGCAGGTTTCTGGGTGTTATTTGAACTGTATTTGTCTATTTATCACATCTCAGCTGGGTTGCAAGAATTTCAGGTCCTGAAAGCTCTGGAAAGGTTTGAGTTAAAGAACAGCTCTCTCATGGTTCAACCTCACTGTCAGATTTCCTGACCGAGCTTTGTCAGGTTCACCAGGGGTTCACTGAAACCAGAAGTGGAACTACTAGCCATATTATGGGCTTTGCCTCAAGGGATTTTTTTCAAGTGAAAAGGTGATACCATTCAAAAGGGACCACAAACAGTAGCCTTGGAAACCCTGTGGCTAGCCCAAATGCTTTGACTGCTTATGGACCTCCCAAAGAAATTCCTGACAGACCAGTGATGGTTTGGACTGCCTCCCCCAGTTTCTTCATTCAGTTTAATGAAGGCAGATTGAAGATTTTTGACATTTGTGTTGAAGTTTTTATGCAACAGTACTTACAAGAATCCGTAAGTTTCTGAATTTGACTTCCTATTCCTCAGGAAGCTTTTTCCTGATTTTCTGGTTTGACCCCAACCAGCAATCAAGTACCATGCAGACACTCACTCACTCCCCCACCAGCAGGATTGGAGAGAGAATTGAAGGCATAAAAGCTGGAAAATTCTTGACTTGATATATAGACAGTTTAACAGGGAAAGCAAGAGCCATATATGTAAGCAAAGCAAAACAAATAGTTAATTTCCTGCTCCACATGGACAGGCAGGTGTTCAGCCATCTCCATGGGGACAGGGCCTCGTTACATGAAGTATTTATTTGTGAACACAAATACCATCACTCCAAATGTCTATCCTCCTTCTGTTTGCCAGCTTTATCTACTGAGCATGATTTCAAATGGTCTGGAACATCCCTTTGGTCAGCTGGGGTCACCTGTCCTGGCTGTGTCTCCTCCGAACCTCCCATGCACCCTCAGTCTCCTCACCAGAGTAGCAATGTGAAAGGAGAAAGAAAATTTGATGTAGGCCCTGCTCAGCAATAACAAAAACTTCTCTATATAATCAACCCTGTATTCCGCACAAATCCAAAACGCAGCCCTATACCAGCCACTGTGAAGAAAATTATCCCAGTCAAAACCAGCACACCTGTTCACATTCATCTGTGTTTACTGTGAGCTAAAACATGGACTAGCATTAGAGAAGCTCCAAACTACTTCTAGAATAAACATTGGACTAGTGTCCTATGCCTCCAGGGACAGTATGGATTTCCTAGGGAGAAAAAAGGGGTGAGATCCTGGGGGAGTCTTGGAACAAGCATGTGTGAAAAAAACTTCCTATCTTTATACCAAAGTTGAAAAACCCACACTGTGTTCTGAGGAAGAAAATGCTGAGAGCATTCACTGTGCATGTGGACAGGAATGCAGTAGAGTTAATTGTTTTTAGGCAGATGTTTATTTTAGCATGATCAAGATTAGGAAGATCAGATATATGGGCTGACAGAAATAGAATGAAACTGATTTTTTTTATTCTCATTCCTGTCTCTAAGTCATGGAAATCACTAAACTTCAACAGTAAGGTCAAGGGAGCAGAGATGACTTTACAGCCACTCATCCCACAGCTGCTCTCTCTAGTACTCAAGGCAGTTGACAAGTGGAAAATTACTGATACTGGGAAATTAAGGTGACTTTAACCTAAATAGATAAGAATGAGGGTTGTGTATTTACCTGGTGTTCTTTCATTTTACACCCTTTGCAATCTCTGAGGGAGTGTCCTCTCTTAGAAGACTCAGGAATGGTCTCTCTAGCCTTCTGATGATTTTTTCTAAGCAGCTCATGTAGCATCACACTGTGTAAGCCCTGGAACAGTCTAAGATAGCTCTGCAAATTGACTATGGCTTCACTTCATGACATGTGTCTCCTTGGCATCTATATGCCCATGAGCCCCATGCTGGGCTCCAGCACACAAATAGAGTTTTTCATCTTCCCTATTGGTGAAAAACAGCAGACTGATGCATGGTTTTGGAGATCTGTGCATTGGAACTGGGTGCCTATATGGAGTTTCTAAAATTATGAGTTTCTAAAATATGGAGTCCTTATATAAATCCTTGTCAGTTTTGTGCATTAAGCCTAATACGCGTCAGATTTTCTTCTTTCCCTTCTTTGGAGTTTGCAGGATATCCCGTCTCACCTGCTGGCCTCATTGTGTCAACTTCTACTACTCCACATCATGCAAAATTGTAGAATTATCTAATTTTTTCACTGAATACTGATGTCTGATGCCTGTTTAAAGCAACATGGTTAGTGACAAAGCATCTTTGATCTGGTGTTTAATAATAGACTTGCAGGCCCATCTACAAAGTGGCCCCTTCCCTGAACCTTGATGTGAGCATCTGAGTCCCTGAAGCATCATCACAAGCTTAGCAGTTTTGCTGAGCCAGCAGGACCTGTCTAGAGCTGTAATTTCAGGGGTCTCAAGGAAGTATTCCAGTCAAATATTTTCTTTAACAGAAGCAACTTTGTAAAGGTTCCTCCTGATATCCTTGAACTGAATGTTTGAAAAGGGTGTGCCAGTGGAGGAAATTGCCCACAAATTTGGTATTTGTGTGTATGAGAATTTCAGAATCTTAATATACTATTGGTTCAGCACTATGTCAGGCTCATCTGAGGTGATACTGATTTAACCAACGAGGCTGTATTTCTTCCTCATACCATAATTGAAAGCTTGAGAAGGACTAACTAAATTTGAGGGACAGCAGTACTGTTGTTATGGGACTGAGATAAGATTACAGATTCTTCGTCAAGGATTACAGCAAAAATATGATAGCCATCTAATTTTGGGAAAATGGGTGAAGACATTTTCAAAGAAGCTCATTTTATTCCATCAGAAAACACTAGCAGTTCATTAAAAATGAAATTTACTGGAATGAGTTTATTTACTTGAAAATTTATTTTAAGAAAATTTAAGATGGAGTATTGCAGCAAACTTGACATGTTCATCTTGGACTCTTTGGGAACAGACCATTTTTATTGGCTATTACAAAACTTTTCTTTATGTGTTTTTTGTACACTTTGTATATTATGGAAATAACTAGAAAGAAACCATTAAGATTTTACTGAAATTGAGCATTTTTTATCAACCTAAAACAGCTCTATTTTAAAAATTAAAATATGTGCACATCTTAGTAGAATTTCAATTTATAAATGATGTTTCTATCTTTATGTCAAGGAAATATTGTAGCATTCCCATTTGATTGATGAGTTCCTGTACATTTAGCTAAATTTGCTTCTACTACTCTGCTGTATTTTAATGGGAGGTCCTGTGTAGCTAAAAAGACTGTGTGACAAACTCTCTTCGGATTTGTAACAATAGATGCTTCAGTGGAAACTTTCACATTAGCAAGCCCATGTTACTTAATGAATAGCCACATCACAATGCTGCTGAACAAGACTGAAATGTACAGTCATATGATACCATCAGTTTGTAGGCAAATTCAGCAGGATTCAAAAGGTTTCAGTGGGGAGTTGTAGTTAAATTTGAAAACATGTTATAGTTGTCATTGATTGTACAACTTCCTTTTTCATGTTTAAAATATACATATAGGAGCTTTACTTAGAGCAGGAAAATGTGTGGTACCCATGTCTGAGTGATGACCCTATTCCATATTCAATGATCTGCTAAGGTCATTAATGCCTTTGATGCCAGATATTATATGAAAACTTCTGTTGTGAAAATTTTTTAAAGAAAAAATATCTAAACCATGTAAAAAACTCCCCATTTTAATTTCAATAGTTCCAGTCTTCAAGGGAAATTCATAACAACATTTCGGGGCCATTTATGACTGGAGTATTAATGGCAGATAATTATAAATCTGACTAGTCCCTGGTCCTCAGTGATGTCTCTTTCCTTCCAGTCATCTCAGTAGGCACAATCCTTACACCAGAGTAGTCTCTTGGTTACCTATGTGAACAGTTAATAAAGATAAAATTCTGTGTAAGATTCATCAACAACAAGGTTAGGAATAGAGTAGGAATGGTATCTCAATGATCTATGAAATAGGAGCACAACTAGAAATGAAGGAATGTATCTGGACCTGTGATTCATTTTCCCTGACTTCAACATCTTAAGGAAAGTCATGCAGGTCAAGCATTCCTATGTACAAGACCAAGTTGTACTTGTCTGTTTTCTGTAAAATTATAATGGCTGCAATTACTCTAGGCATTCTATGAGACCTGTTCTAAGGATTGGAGATGGCCAGATATTGCTGCTTTTGAAACAGCAAAAAGAATTTATTTAGAACTTTTCCTGTTAGATTTACCATACAGAATGTCTCCAGATATGTGTCCTGAATAAGGCTAGAAACAGCAGATACACAAATATCCCTTATCAAATCTCATGTTTCCATTATTCAAGAAACAACATTCTTTACAGGCACATTTTATACATGCAATAGCAATTTATATTTCTCTCTCATCTGACGGAATTTCTGTGTGCTTCCCAAACACATGTATAAATCATCATGTAAATGCATAGTCCTCTGGGGTGGAAACATCAGGGATTTGGTGCATACCTGAAGATTTAACTACACTTACGAATTTTCCTGGAAATGAATCAATAATCTCTGCTCCAGCAATTCATGTTTCTTTTGCTTTGCCAAACAAATGATTTCAGAAGTTTGGACAGCATATGGTGCAATTTGGATACTGAATGTTAGTAAAAAAGTTGCTGACCTTTCTAACTTGTCTTTATTTTCTCCCACAGGTGTGTGGTTGCATTATTTTAGGAATCTCTATATGGATACGTGTTAGCGGTGCTCAGCAGGTAAGTGCATGCAGTCACTCCAGCACCATGTAAAATGTGGACACTACTGCATACACATTAATTTCCCATCTTAATTTCCACAAATTTTCTATGTTTTGGTGAGGTGGTTTGTGTGGGTGAAGAGGAATGCATTTTATGACGTTAAGATTAAACATCATGGTGCAGATAGTCAGATAAAATGATTGATACAAGCAGAGATATGTGATTATGAGAAGTATCTGCTAGTGTTATTATTGTAGTTTCATGCAGATGCACTCAGATTTCTGTTCGAAAATGTGTCTCTCACCTCTAATGAAAAACAATTATGCTTTTGTTAATGATTTTAGTGTTAGAGAGAAAAATGTGGAAGCATGCAACTCATAGACTTTTCCATGTTTTTCCCTATTAGAATAGTTTGGGCGAATCCAGATGCTTTTAGGAGGACCTTCTTGTAGCTGAAAGATTGTTTTTCCTCTTTCTTTTCAGGGGGTAGACAGCAGCATTCTTGCAGGAGTTAATCTACTAATTGCCGTGGGTGCCATCATCATGATCCTTGGGTTCCTCGGGTGTTGCGGCGCTGTAAAGGAGAGCCGGTGCATGCTGATGTTGGTAGGAAAGAAAAGAGTTTGTCTGCCTTTAACAGGCCACAGCTACATATGATGGATAGAGCCCTTGCAAGTAGTATCAAATGAGGATGGGAACCTTTTAATTGAACTAAAAACATGATAATAATCCTGTGTTTTCTTTGCTCACCTTGAGTTTCGGCCCCTTCTGAATTCTGTTGTGGTAAAAATGGTGGTTGGTCTCATCAGCAAGAAGACAGGGTCCAGAGAAACTTGGGCATGACACCAGCTTTTTTTCCATCCAGGTGTCATCAAAGTTCCCTCTATTGGCTTTCACCCATTACCTATCCTATTTAATTTTCTAAATTCCCAGTTGCTCTCTTTGCTGGTCCACCTAGAATGTCTTCCCTGTCCTTCTGCCCAGCTCTCTCTTTTATCATGACACTGTTCTGGTGTGTGCCTTGTTTTGATCACCAGCTGAGCATGGTCTGTCTTGAGCACCACTTCTCTTATAATCAAAGAAGAAATAGTTGGAGCAGCTCTGACTGGAAAATCATTCTACCTACATGCTTATTCAAGCACATGAAAGAGAAATGTTAACTTAAATTCTATCACCTTGATCAAAAGTAATATAATTTTCTACCCCTTTTGATTTTTTTCCCAGTTTTTCATTGCACTGCTTCTGATACTGATTCTTCAGGTCACAGGAGGTGTTTTAGGAGCAGTGTACAAACCTCAGGTACAGTATTATTCTATGTTTTCATTGATGTCTTCAAATAGTTTTGTTTCTTCTCAAAAAATTAGTAATATATTTTACCTTGCAGGTTGAAAAAATTTTTAACTATACCCTAAATGAAAGTGTGCATGCACTGCAAAGTACTACAGGAGAATATAAAGAATATCAGGAAGAGTTCCAGAAGCTGGAGAAAAAGGTAATTAAACAGTAAAAAAATGAAGGGTTTGTTATCTGTCTCATCTTTGGCATCTCTCTTCGCTTCATTTTATGACTACTCTGCTGTAGATTTGAGTTTTGTTCCCTAGGGGTGGGAAAGGGTCTGACTTAAAGGCAAGTTGAAACACCACAGAAGGGATTTTTGTTCCCTTGATAGGACAGGGTCTTCCTGTGATGATTTCTTTGTGCAATAGGGCTGTCTATAAGAGCAATATATATAAGAGCAAGGACACACCATATGCAAGTAAGACTGACAGTTAGCTAAACTCTTTCAGGAGAGGTCTGCACTGCCCTTTCTTACAGCTTTCCTTTCTGAAGGAACATTGATCCTTCACCATATCCCAAATAATAACTCTCCAGTACTTTTAAGGAAAGTTTACCCCAGGGATTAGGAAAACATCAGGAGAGGAGTGTATTTAATTTGGAATATCCTACTGCTATGAAGTCATTAAATACCATGCTTTAATGTGTTAGAAGAGGGAAGAAAATATGATGAGAAGTTTGTTTTTATTGTGTTTGCACTTTTACTGGTGCCTCCATCCTGCAAGACCCCAGATGGTGGATGGTCAGTGTGAGCTTGCTCCTGGGTATCTCACAGAGAATACCCTGGAATCTCATTGATGACATCGACAGCATTCATCCCTTCCCCTCCCACAGGTACCTGGGTCTGTACATTGACAGAATGCCTGCTGTTCTGGTTTTTTAGTCCCTAATGGGTGATTACTTTTATAGATCGACTTAATTTTTTATGTTTTTAAAGACTGCCGTATGAAAGAAAACCAAACAAGGAACAATATTTAGGTGTCTTATGTTACTTCCATTTTTCCTTCCCCATTCCATCTCCAGCCTTGTCCTCTGCTTCTGAGACAATTTATTTCTTCTGATATAATAAGCCCTCTGGAGAGATGAGCAAAATGAAAAATCCCATAATTACTGCATTAATTTTTAAATGTAGCAGGATTGCTGTATTATGACCCACAGCCTTTGCTTTTATACAAAATTATGTGAACATTTCCAGCTGCTTTTTAATAGAGGGAGGACCTCAAACGCAAGTTTGCAGCTCTGAGCTTTAGTGGCTTGAATATAATGGAACATGAAGTGGAACTGCACCTGGTCTAGGTTTCACAAACTCCAAATGGAGCCCTGGTCTCCTCAGTCCATGTCTAATTTAAAGAGATAACCATCATTCAAAGAGGTTATTTTTCTAGATTTCAAAGTTGTATGTGCCTGCATTTTACATTTCCAGCTCAGCTTTTCAAGATGTGAAATGTGGATGTCACTGGAGCTGGCAACTTACCTTCTGCAAGTACAAGCTAGAAAAAGAAGGCTTGATTTTTAAAAAATACTATACTAGTGTTCTAGTTTCATTCTGGCACTGATAATTACTAGCTTAATAGTATGTTAATGTTTTTTGAGCATTTAATACTGAAATTCTGGTCTTTTTTCTCCTATCTCTCTTTTTTTTTTTTTTTTTTTTTTTTTTTTTTTTTTTTTTTTTTTTTTTTTTTTTTAATGCATGCACTTACCTTCTTATAAATGTTATATAAGCAAAGGGTATTTGAGACATACCGATTTGGTATTGAAAATTTGGTATACCAATTTTCACATTGAAAAAAGTGAAATAAAATTTGTTTTTTGTTGTTCCTGTCAGCTCCCTCACCTACTCTCTTTTAATTGAAAATCACATGTTTTTAAACTCTTCTCTGCATTTACTCCTTTCTTGCAGTACCAATGTTGTGGATTGCAGAATGGACCTGAAGACTGGGGAGAAAATTTTGACAAACAAAAAGACATCTGTCAGTGTGAACTAGAGAAGCCATCAGAAGTCTGCATGAACTATAAAAACAGATACATTTATAGAAAAGTGAGAAAAATGTTCATTCTTTCCAAAGAGCCAAGTTTTAACCCAAGGTTATCTCTGGTGACTGGTCTAGTCAGGAGTTCTGTATCTTTCTGAAAAGGCAAAGTTTTGCTTTCTCTTTCTTAGCCAGAATTACCCCCACACCACCTGTTAAGAAATTACTTTTCATAACTCTGCTCCTTCCTCTTCCTGAGATGTCTTCAGTTTAGGCCCTTAGCAATCTGCATGGTTACTGTTGATGAAAATTATTGACTTTGGCGTCAGGATATAACCGTGGGTCAGAGCTGCACACCAGCTACCCTTTGGCTCTTGTTCTTCTCTCAGAAGGCTATGCTCCCATCCAGGCTCATTGTGGAAGTAGATATGTTCACTTAGAGACATTCAAAATGCTAAAGTATATTGAAAATCAAACAATTAAATGCAAGACCTTTGGGGTTTTATAATCCTTTAATAAAAAACCCATACTCACTTTGCAGGATCTGCTGGAAAGAAACCTTACTTACATATTGTGGGATTCATGGCAGAATATTCAAAGAGTGATTTCCTACAACTACAGCCTTTTGAAAATCTTAATTAATGTAATAAGGCAAAGTCTCTGGTGATAGGTGAAAACAAAGCACACTCACAAGAGTACCATCTCATAGACAGTAGAGATCTCAAAGAATCAATTTCATGGTTTGCTTGTCTCCTTATGAGGAAATCTGGATCTATAGATATGAAAAAAGTTAAAAGAAATGCACAAAATAATTGAATAACACAAAGTAATTGAACTTTTAGAAGGCTGGTGGTGCAAATTTTGCCAGTATGCACCTAGCAACAAGCGGATTTTAGCAAATGTCCATTCTGGTTGTATAATTTTCTAATTGCACCGCTCCTTAATCAGGTCCTGCCTGAGCAGTAATTTCCTCCCTGTGCAGTCCCACAGAAGCAAATACTATTTTAAAGCAAGGAAACAATCTGGTTAAGTAGAAGATACCAGAACCCAATCTGGAAATAAGATGCATGCAAAGAGGCTGTTTTGGCCACATTTTAATGTCTTTTTTGCCTCAGGCAAGCCCTCAAGGGACACATGAGAAGTCATCTGTGAAATTACTGCAGGTGCAAGATTTTGCTCATATGAACACACAGATTTCATGGTGATGTGAGATGTAGTAGAGACATCCAACTCTTCTGATATGGGAAAAAATATTTGAAATTCAGTGCAGTTATGAGTCAGCTTAACTGAGAGATTTTTAGAAGAACTAGAAGACCCATGTGTTTATTGTGAGAGAGGATATATGGTGAAAGAATACAACTATATTTGGGGGGAAGACAGTTGTAGAGTTGTAACAGTAATATAATTTGGATGTATTTAAGCTGTACTTGGCTTTCCCCTCTGTTTGCAGAAGGAGGATTGTCAGTGCCTAGAGAAGATGTAATCACTGTAAGAACAGATGTATGCAAATATCTAAAAGGAGAGTAGCTCTGCACAGAACTTCAGCTGTAGAATCATAGAATGTGCTGGGTTGGAAAGGACCCATCAGGATCATCAAATCCAATTCCTTGCCCTGCACATAACAGCCCCAAGAATCACATCATGTGCATAAGAGCATTGTCCAAATGCTTTTTGAACTCTGTCAGGTTTGGTGCTGTCACCACTGCCTGGGGAGCCTATTCTAGTGCCCAGACACCCTCTGGGTGAAGAACCTTTTCCTGATATCCAAGCTAAATCACCCCTGACTCAGCTTAATGAGATTTCCTTCAGTGCTTTCACTGTTCATGAGAGTGAAGAAATCAGTATCTACCCCTCTGCTCCCTGTCATTAGGATGTTGAAGACCCAAATGAGGTCTCACCTCAGTTTCTTCTTCTCTAGGTTGAATAGAGCAAGTGTCCTCAGCCACTCTTCATATGGCTTCCTCTAAAGGCCCTTCACACAGCCCTACTTTGGACAATCTCTAGTAGCTTTATATCTTTCATATATTAAGGTGCCCAAAACTGCCCCCAGCACTCAAGGTGAGGCCACACCGGTGCAGAGCACAGTGGGACAATCCAGTCCCTTGCCCAGCTGGTGATGTCCCCTAGGACAGGGTTGGCCCTCCTGGATGCCAGGGCGCTGCTGGCTCATGTTCAACTTGCCATGGAGCAGGACCCCAAGCCCCTTTCTGTTGGGCTACTCTCCAGCCCCTTGTTCCCCAGTCAAACCCCAACATAACCATGGTTGCAAAATCTGGCGGTTGACCTTGTTCATATAATTGGTGATTGCCCATCTCACTGTTGTGTTGATCTCTCTCTCTAGGGCCTCTCTTCCCTCAAGGAAGTCAACAGCTCCTCCTAGTTTAGTGTTGTTGGCAAACGTCCTTACTATTCCTTCGAGTCCTGCATTCAAATTGTTGAGGAACATGTTGAAGAGAATTGGACTGCAGATGGAGCCCTGCAGAATCCCACTACTAACCAGACTCCAGACTGATGTTACCTCACTTATTATAAGTGTGCTGACCCATGAGCCAGTTGCTCACCTATGGCATAACATGGCTGTATGCTGGACATTTTGTCCAGAAGGATACTGTGAGAGACATCGCCAAAATCTTTGCTGAAGTCCAAAAGGTTTACATCTACTGGCTTTCCAAGATGAGTTAGGTGGGCTACTCTGTCATAGAAGGAATCAATTTCAACAAGCAGGACTTTCCCCTCATGAAGCCATGCTGATTATTCTCTTCCTTCCAGCCCCATCCAAGCACCATCAAACACATGACAAAATTAATTTTGAAGCTAGGTTTTATAACCAAATATTTTTAGTTAATGCCAAGTGTAATAATAAATCTTGAAGTCTCAAATCCAAAGATTAGATTGGTGGGAAACAAGCTCCCTTTCAGACCTTGTCATGGCTGGCTGCATTGACTCTTTCCTAGTAGCAAATAATTACCAAATGAAAGTAAGAACAAACACTTCTTTCCGTGTTAATGCAAACATTAGGCATTACAGCTGTATGTCTTCCTTTAAAATAGTAACCTTTCATGGTCAGCTACTAAATCTTCATACTTGGAAAGGCAAAGGTTTCTGCAGAGAATAAGGTACACATAGTTGTGTGTTTTGTGTTCATTAGCAACAAGCCAGAGTAAATTTAAATAGCCTTTTTTTAGCACAGAGCTAAAGAGGAGAGAGTTTGAGAGTTATTTTAGAAGATGCATTCTTATATAACCATAAGATAATATTGCTTACCTATAATTAATAATTTTGTTTTCTTTTTCAGTCTTGTGGAGAACTGATTATGCAACAAATTAAAAACCATCTGGTCATAATTATGGGGATCGCCTTTGGACTGGCTGTTGTTGAGGTACCACTGTACACTGTTAAAATACTTAGTAGCTGACAAGCAGTATGTTCTACTTGGAAATACATTGGGAATGGGATTAAAACACATGGCTTGCTCAATTAATAGACAAGGGAAAACCACCTCTCACCTTAGCTATAACATTACTGTTATTCATATAAACATATTTCATTAAAGTATATGGTTGCTGAGCTGCAAACTTCAGGTGAGATCAGACCACCCTGCTGCTCATATAAGTATATCACATAGGATATTTCCTTCAAAAAAATTGCCAGTTCTGAAGCCAGGCTGTGCCTTGACACTGAGCCCTGTGTACAGAGATGTGTGCGAATACACAGTGTTGGGAGACATGAGGCAGAACAGCCAGATTTTCCTCTTCTTTCTCATCTTTTCTTGAGGAAAAATTAATCTCCTAAGAAAATCTAGCCTCTAGCGTACATAATTTTATCATTAATAAATTTTGGTACAAAATTATAATTCTGATGCATTAAAATTTTACGCCTCAAGATGACGCATTAATGTGTCTGAGTGCACGTGTGATGCTCCATATATTCCTGTGTATAGAAAAACACAGAGTATGTGGACTGTTTCTTTCAATTTCCTCACCATACACTGAAGAATAACATGTAAGATTTTCTCTGAAGAGAGGAGGAAATTAACTGAGGCTATCCAGTCAGTCACTTGATTTTGATTTGAATAAGAGAAAATTATAAAGAAACAGGGGATTTCATCATGATGCTTTCTTCGGTCTTTTTTTTTTTTTTTTCACTCTTTCTCCTTGGTTTTCCTCGACCGTCACTCTCCACCAGTGGATGTTTGAGGGAAAAACAGAACTGAAAAAGATTGCTGTGAAAAGTTCAGTCTATTACTCAAAGCAAAAGCTTCTTAACATCATTGGCAGAGGATTTCTCCTCATGGTAGAAGAGTGGGAAAGAGCCCCAACTCAAAACTGTGTTTCTAGGAAAACAGTAGTAAGTGGGGAAGAATTATGTATCTGCAGCACTGGAAGAGGACAGGCCACCAACTTCTTACTCAGCACAGGCTTTCTGGTATTTAAAGGGCTATATGTGGGTGGTCAGGTCTCTCACCCATATGTTTACTTTGAAGGAAAAATACGTGAAATACACTGATATTAGATGGCCTTAAAATATAATTTAAGTGTAAAATTGCATCTGTATCCCTAAAGCAAATTATAAGTCACTTTGCTCTAGTTACTGCAGCTATGTGAGTTGTAGCCTTTTAGTTCATTGGCCATCATTCTTTCCTGTTCTCCAGCTGGCATTTTCTGTGCTGGCTGCCTCTCTCAGTCATAAAAGGATTAGAAAACAACATGAATAAACAATATGAGACTCAGCACAAATTGTCAGATGGCAATTTACACTTGATAAACATTTAGCGTTTCCACATTAGCTCAAGCAATTGCAAATCAAAGGCCACTTGCTTAACCACCTCTCTGCTCTAGGAAATCCCAGTTAAAAAAAGGTGCTTTTCCCCCCTCTGCTTCATTATGCCAATTGTGAACTGTTACTGCTTTCAGCTCATCCTTCTAGTGAAAATTATACAGATAAGAAGGGTCCACAGCTCATCCTTCTAGTGAAAATTATACAGATAAGAAGGGCCCACAGCTCATCCTTCTAGTGAAAATTATACAGATAAGAAGGGCCCAATTTCATTTGGACGCAAGTGAAAATGTGGACATGGTATGTCAGGGAAGCGTTGTCAGTTTACTCCAGGTGTGGGTCCATCCCTTTGTCTTAGCTGTATCTCTGTGCTATATATGCTCCTCTCTATCTCTTCCTTAAGTAAATAAAGTATGTCAGTGTTCCTGGTTTCAAAGGTGTTGGGCGCTTTCCATTTTTGTGGAGCACCTTCACAGACTGGTTAACTTTAAATTCTGAAGGAAGCTTTCTGATCTATCTCACCAGCTGTCTGCCAAGAGTCATGGAATTGTACACAGTAATTCCCAATACAGAAGGTGACTCTACTGAATTTTCTATTTCTTGTAACAGCTTCTTCAGTGAACTCACTATTGTTTCTATCCTAAGTGCATTACTGATAAATATAAAATATTTGTTGCATGATCATTTGCAACTCAAAACAGTGAGGTAGGTTTATAGATGTATACCTGTATACAGTATACAGATGTATATGTATACCTGTATACATACACTTCACACATATGTTTACACAGAAGAGAGTGATAGTGGAAAATAAGAGAGATTCGAAAGGGAGACAATCCTTAGAATACACAGTGAACATTCCTCTAAGTTTATCAGAAAATAAAATGCTCAATTTTTGTACAAATTTCTTTAACTTCTCTGTAATTGCTGTTTCACTACAGCTAACAACTGCATTTTAAACACATAGAGCTACAGGGGTTCTCATGCACAAAGGCAATTCATCTTTTAAACAAATGTAACTTCTCCATGGTATCTGCAGTCTTACCTGTGGTATATACTGACTTCATTAAAGTGTCTGTATTCTGTAAGAGGCACATTGGAAAAAGTCTTCATCATAGCAGATTTATCCTGCATGTAAATCCAAGATATTTGCGAACAAAATATTCCCATTGCGTATCAGTTTTATCCTGGGATTTCCAGAATTGCCAAGTAATACCAGAAATATCTTTGTTTTCCAGATTCTTGGTTTGGTGTTTTCTATGACCCTCTACTGCCAGATTGGGAGAAAATGAAACTGTGAAAATGTCAGAAAGATGTCACCAGTCAAATAAAGATCTTTCTAGAAAGAGAGATAGAGATTTGGCTGGCCACATTCAGATAAATATATGCATGTCCCAGGCAGCTGTTCTGATGAAAATGGCAGCTCTTGTGTTCATGGATGCTTGACAACTTGCAAAACGATCTCTTTATATTTCATAAGATTTAATGATGTGAATATGATTTTTTATTTGCAATAAACATCTTTGTTTATGTTTCTGAGGTGTTTATTTTGTCCGAAGATAGCAATTATGTCATGTTGAGGGTGAGTTCACCATGTGGTGTGCCCTCATGAGTGTTAAACCACCCACAGCAGAGTCACCATAAACAGCTGCAAACCATCATGCAGAGGATGACTGCTCCAGGGAACTCGGGTCCCTGGTTAGCTCTGCTTGTGGAGGAGGATGTTTTCATTATGAGAATTGTGAGTCAGGGTTTTGTTACCTGTGGGAAGGGCAGCTAACTTGCAAGCAAGTAGGAAAGCCATGTTTCCTTTCAGGGATGTTTAAATCAGGGATATTTTATCTTGGCAGCTGAGATGGTTGCTCTTGGGCCCAAATGATGCTTAGGCTGTGTAAATGAGATGGATTTAATGATGCTTTGATGTTGCAAATAAGCATCAATGGTGAAATCCAAGTCCATGTGGAGGCAAGGTGTACACAGAAGTCATGCAGGTAAGCTTAGCCCAGAGTAACTAAGGCAAGTGGAAGGACAAACACAGGGCATGGCTGCCTGCACAGCAGCAGCCCTATAAAGCCTGCCTGCCTTTGGACTGACCAGTGCATGCAAGTGTTTGGGCCCTGAGGTACTGACAGCATTGATGGTCCCTGCCCAGCCATCCCGGTTTCCCTTCACACTCCCATGACGAGGACACCACATCAGCCTCCTGGGCCAGTTGGTCCCTGCCCCACCAATGTCACAGTAGGGCTGGTCTCCAGCTCCCCTGCCTGGTCATGGAGTCCCACCAAGCTGGACCTCCCCATGTGTCCTCCTGTGGCCTCAGTCCATGCCCAGGAAGAGTGTGATGCTAGGGGCTGGGGCTGCCCTGGTGCCCTGCCCTGCCCCACTCCTGACTGGGTCAGGCTTTGCCTTGCCACCCCAGCAGAACCACAGGTGGTCCCAAACCCTGTGGATCTGCTGGCCTAGGTTGCCTTCTAACAGAAATGGCATTGGGGACAAGTTTTTTAAGGTATGAGGTTGTCTAATGATGCCCACAAGGACTGGCTGAGGTTTTTCACAGCAGGCTGATGGCCTCCCTGCTGTATGTTGGAATTAGCTGATTTATCCAGCTCTGCTGGACCCTCATCTCCATTACAGGAGCAACTTTAAACACCTCTCACAGCTGCTCTTAAGAGAAAACCACATATCATGCTCCTTTTTTGAGGGCACCCCTCGGGTGCCCTTGACTGTCTCGAAGCACACCCTGACTGCTCCCATCTTGACAAAGCAATGCAAACTTGCTTACAAATGCATTAAAAACTTCCTCTGAGCAGAGACCCTTGTCCATGTCTTATTCCAGCAGAACTGGATTAAGGTAAAATTCATCTGCAGCAACGAGGTTTTTTTTTTAAAACTCAACGAGAGGAAGTTTCTGTCCCATCCCCCATCCTTCCCTAGCACTCAGACCATTGGGCCAAGCAGTGATCCTGCTTTCAGTAATACATGTGTCTCCCAGGAAAGTCATCTAGCTACCAGACAGTTCTGGCATTTGTCCTTCCCTCTGCTGAATCTCAGAAGCTGTGCCAGAAGAATTCAAACTTTGTTGGACCAGAGAAGAACCATGACTCCATAACCCAGCTGTATGAACTGGAAAAAGAAATGCTGGCTTCTAGTTCCTCCTTCTCCCAAGAGTGTTTTTTTTTTCTGTGCAAATCTTATCCATGTTCTGAAGTCCTGGGAGCTGAGCCTGAATCATCCAGATCATGATATGGCAGCTGGAGTCCTGGATTATCACTACAGAAAAATATTGAGAATATAAGGGCAACATGCAAAGATAATTGCACCTTCTTCTTCTTCCTCCTCTTTCCCATTAGAAGGACTGCTCTCCTGCTTGAATGAAGGACCAGAGGGACTCTCATAGAGAGGGGTCTTAGAGCTGTGGATGCCTAATGGATGGACATGATGGAAAAATTATAGCTCATCCTTGCTGCCAGGAGGAGTCAACTTCAGGAATCTGTAAACTTGAGTATTACTGGCATGAATTTGCAATGAGCATTGAGATGAGACTGACAATGTATACTGGCTCAGACACCAGTCTGGTCCTGTTTGCTGCTCTGGGGATTCAGATGTGTAAAACCAAGCTGTAATACATGTAAATTTTGATTGTATATTGCCCGGTTTTGGATATAATCCTCAAAATAATCTTTGCTTGCATAATAATAATGATGTATGATACATTAGACTTTTTGTTAAAACAGTTAAAACTGTTGATATTAAAACCAGCATCAAAATGTTGCCTTCAGGGAGGAACTTTGACACCGGAATTTTATCTGGAGCTAAGGTGAGCAGTTACTCTGTTTATTTATGCAATTTGTCTCTATTATGTAAAGCTCTAAGGAATAAAAGTAAAGCATATGATTATATGCTACCATGACTGTTTAAATGGGATTGAGCCAATGAAGCAAGTCAGAATACTATCGGCTTGCCGGTGGAGTGGGTTTGCCACTAAAACATGCCCATTGCCTTTGATGTTGCAAAACTTACTTTCTTCTAATGTTCTATCGCCTCCTGAAGTTTTCTTCTTCCTTTTTTCAATGGAAGCAGCAAAATGCTCAGCATAAAACAAAAAGAAGTCTGTCTGGGTAAGATTCATCTGGCCATTCACAAAACAACAGATTATAAACTCATATAATAGAATTATGAAATGGTTTGGATTGGAAGGTACCTTTAAAGACCATCTTTAAAGTCCACCCCCATTGCCATATCTGAGCTATTAGTTTGAACTCTCCCTATAATCAATGAGGAAAAAAACCACATCTAGGATTTGAGCCATCTCATTCTAAAATAGATGTCCAAAGAGGTGAGAAGAGTGATTTTCATTGCAAATAGGTGAAATTGAAGTTAATGAATCCCACTCCACAATATGGAACTTGCTGAAAACATTAGAAGCACTGATCAGACAGGAAAGAGAATTAATATGAATGTGCACTGATTATTCATTGATGCATTGACACTTTTGCTCAGTCATAATCCAGCCTGCTAGGAAATGAGCCCTGCCTACTCTCTAGGCTGGTAGGATAAGATGAATCTGGTGTGTGCAATGTTGTAACAGAGATCCCAGCACCATTCCTTCATGAAGTCCCCTCTGTATTCTTATCTAAGAACATTTATAGTTAGCTGTTGACTCAAAATAGCAATGGGACATTTTCTGAGCCCACAAACACTTTTTAATCCTGATGTCTGGAATTGCTGAAATGGAATTTGACAATAAATCCTTGACAGAAAAATAAATTTGTAAGGGTTTTCTTTTGTGGGTTGTTGGGGTAGGTTATTTTTGGTTTTTCACAACCATCTAATGGAAGGTTATGTTCATCTCAGTGTTACCCAATAAAATCAAACATATAGAGGAAAGACACATGTCCAAGACCTTAGTTCTTTAAAATATCAAAGGGAGAAAAAGCATTTATCATTATAGTTTTAAATGGTATAAATAAGGAGTGGTAAGAACAAAGACAGTGTATCCCTGCCTTTGACAATGGAGCTAAATTCCACCTTAAAACCAAGTCTATTTAAAACACACTGGTGGTTTATCATGTCAAAACCAAACATCTATTTAATGGCAATGGATAAGACATCACACATGGGCCAAGAGTTCTTCAAAGAAGAATTTTTTACATCATTTAAGGGATTTGGGGGAGGGGGTGAATGTATTTTTCTCAGAAAGGATTGTATTTGTGGGGAAATGCAGCCCAAAAAGAAAAAAGTTATAATTTATGACAAAATATGAGTCAGTAAAGCAATGTCAGAGACAATGACGGGAACATTATTAAGCCTTTTTTGTTATTGGAAACCAAAAATAAGGAAGAGAAAGACAGAGGCAGATTGAGAAAAAGAAATATGATGTTTAAAAAATAGAAGAAGAATGAAGCAAAACAGGACAGGTCAATTTGAAAGAACAAAAAAATTAAATATAATCAAGATCCAAGAATTTGCTGCACTCAACTTAGCATGAGGAGAATTTGGCCCTAGTCCACCTTTGTGTCCTGGATGCCATGTTGAAAGCCAATTCAACCTGTTTTTAAATCAGTGCCAAATCTGCCCCAAATCTATCTGACTATCCAGGCCTCTGAGAAGCTGGGCCTCATCAGAGCATAGCTGGTAGCCAAAAGGTACACCAAGAGACAGCTGTGGTAGTTGTATGTCCTCTGGGCATGCCTGGAGAATGAAACTGAGGAGGTGAAACAGCTAACTTTCCTTCTGGAAAGGACACCATGGATCTGGCCGAAGCATTTTTGGAGACATGATTAAATGAGGCAGCAGGGTTTATTTTAAAATTAAGACAGAGGGTTATCAGTTTAAGTTTTGAAATAGGATTGGAACCACAAAATCTGTCCTAACTGCTTAGCCCAAAGTTTTTGGGCACGGGAGAAATTCAGCTGATTTAGATTGGATTCAGCCCTCCTCAGCTGAGGGGATGTTTGACTTTGGGTTGTTTGGGGAGGTCAGTTAGAGAGCAAACACCTAATATCACTCCAGG